TTGCGCGTTGGCCGGAACTTCCCCGTGGATTTGATTCTGATTTGAACTCCCCCAAGAATTTGGAGGCGGAGGTGCATATTGGCGGATGGCAGATTTCCGGGCGGGTAGTGGCAGTCGGTCCCCAACCGAAGAGGTACGCGAGTGGCGTGAGACAGCTCGCCGAGCCACGACGGCTGGTTGGTCGTCCCGGTTGGAGGTTCCACTTGCTGGCTTTGCCGCCGTGGAGGCACTCCAGACGGTTCCTTCTAGTGGGCAGGGTGACAGCATGGGACCCTTTCCTTCCGACTGACGCAGGTCCATTCGAAGTACTTGCACTCGGTCGCTAGGAGGGAATTGAGTCACGCCTTTCACCACTGCAGTGCAAACTCGGCTCAGCACACGCTGGCAATTTGCTCGACTTAGGCGTCGCAGCACCGAGTTTCATTGCAGTCATCGGAGGGGACCTCTTGCTACCGGCCGTCATACGCTTCATGGCCAATAGTGACAGATGTTTTCTGTGAAGACGTCATCTCGCAGAAGGAGGCGGCGGAGAGGGCCTGGGAGGATGATCTCCACTCGGACCTAGCGCCTCATGCCGCCCTGAGTGTGGCCGCGGGTGGACGGGACAGGTTTTCCCCTCCATCGGGTTTCCACACGTAAAAAAAAGATATTCGTACGACAGCAGAACTCCGGCTCTAATAGTTCTAATAGTTTCGTTATACAAAAACCTAAAGTTTCCCTATAAACGCCACGCGAAAACTTCATTTCTTGTGTTATTGTGTTATTTAACAATTCATGTTATTAACCATTCAAAAGGCGCTTAAGGTGAAACATTGTGACTTCTTATAAAAAAAAACGAACTACGACAAAAATAATTGAAGCGGGATTTCTATTCTTACATTTAAAATGACAAAATGTTTTGATTTTTAAATAAAAATGCGACATGCAACAAAACTGCTTTATATCTTCATTAGATGCTACTCAACTTGAGTATTATGTTTTCTCTTGCGTTCACGTGGGGTTTCAAGAGAGTTAATAGGGATAGACGAATGCGTAAAAGTAACACATAGAATATTACAAGTTTATTGTAATATTAGTTTACTACTGCATAGCCCACTGATAAATACAACGTTTCTAACAGCGGGTAAATTTAAATATCAAATTATAGGATCAGTGTTTTGACGCCAACGTATGAACAAAGTACTTTCATAGTACCTTGTTCATACGTTTTACATTCATCGTAAAAGCCTTAAAAATCTTTGTACTATTACTGAAACCCTTCTATGAACTAAAGGAATGTCAGTACAGTGTAAGGACTCTCGTTCTTAACTGTTCACATGCACTGTTATGTAGTCTCATGTTCTTTAACTACGTCAAAGAAAGTGTTTGAGGAAAAAATGTGTTGTGCATTTTTTTGATTTATAAGGTAGTAGCAATTTCATTCTAATTTTCCAGTTAAATTTGATAAGAAAGCTTGAGCATGTTTGTCTCGTGTGCCAGTCCAAACGTATATTATGGGTATACGTAACAATAGCCGCCTATGCTACGTACTCTAATTACTACTTCTAAACTACAAAATTGAGTAGATAAAGATTGAGTTGCAATTCACTCTTTGTTTGTTAGAGTTTATCACTTTCTGGAAAAGTAAGGTATATTACGACTATTTCAGGGTATATTATCGACTGCACGGATGGCGTATGGCGTAGTGGTTTAAGCGGTAAAATATGTAAACTGTATTAATACGCAAGTAAAACCAACTGCACTGCTGATATTTTTTTATAAATATGTAAACTACTCACAAAATATACTACTTAATTCAAAGATTTATTTAAACGAGAACCCTATAACTTAGAACTGTCAGCCAAATAATCTTTATATGACATTGTTAGAAAAACATTAGTTTTATTATAGCTATTATTATCTTTCTATATATACTCGTAAACCAACTTTATAATGAAACTATCCTGTTTACCATAAATTAACTCACGACGAAGAAGAAACCTTTACATGTTTATTTATTTATTTATCCTTCCTCACCAGAGCATACGGGGCCCGGAGCCCAGTATGCTCTGGTGAGGAATAATCGACAGTTACTAAAGACAAGACCACCTCGTTTTACTTAGGAATTTTATTTAGGAAGCTTGATCTAGCTGGCTGATAATTTATTACTTTATTAATCTAATAATAGTAATTAGTAATTAAGGAAAAGAAAACAAAGTGTTTATAGCGTATTTATTCATACAATTTTAAGTTAACAACATAATACCTAATATTATAGAGTATTATTCCCAAAGAGCGACTACAACTAGCATTTACAAAATTTTAAGGTGTTGAGTTAGATTAAGATTTTTAAATTACCGCCACTAGGTAAGACACGTGTAGATTTCTTAAATATTGCATTACCATAAATAAATGTAAAATAACCCTTCATAAAATTCATGCTAAAATAAATACAGTGACGATATTATTATAATTTGTCAGTTTATGTCAGTTATTATTTTGTATTAATCAATTAAATCATCTGAAATTGTGTTAGCTTTGAGTGTCAATTTTTTTATTTTACTTAAATACTAAGGTAAAGTTGCGGTTAAATGATCCGTGCAAGCTCGAGTCAATTCAAGCTCGGCACGACATGCTAAAAGTTCGCACGAATCAGTTATCTCCTTCGGTATTTTGTCAGAAAGTTATACAAAGAACAGTCACGTATTTTATATACAACTTAGGGAAGGATTACGAGGTAATCTGCAACCGTCAGCGTACGTCGCCGTAAGACTTGTACGTCAATTAAAATAAGAAACATGTATTAATACTAATAATAATAATAACAATAATATATCTCACACATCTCACACGCGGCCGTCTGATCCCAAAGTAGGCAGAGCCTGTACTATGGTAACCAGACTGCTGATAAACATACTTATATATTTTTAAATGGATACATATTATGGATAAATTACACCCAGACACAGAACAAATGACCGTGCTCCGTGCTGATTGTGACCGTCACACAATATTTGTCCTGTGGGAATCGAACCCACGACCTCCGGTTTAGCAGTCAGGGTCACTAACCACTAGACCAACAGGCCCGTCAAAAACATGTTGCACAAACATGCAACCTTAAAGTGCAGATTAAGAACCCTTTTTTTAAAACCCCAGAATTTAAAACACTTATAAAAAAGTATAATTTTAACGACAAATATACTATTTTTAAAACATCTATGAATACTATGCAAATGCTTAGAAATAAGTACAAGTAGACAAATCCGTAACAATTTTTACTAAGTATCATTTAAATAATTAGCTTGCTAAACCATTCTGTGTCAGTACGCTGATAGTTTAAGATAATGATCTAAATAATAATTGTTTATACAGTGTCCTAGTTAAATAAATATAAACTCAACTCAATAAATAAGTATTTTAAACACAAATAAGAATTCCGAACAATCCATGTCTAACCCAATAACCTTTTTTGAAGGACAAAAATATGACAAAATACTCGTTTCTACTACTGTAATTAAGAACACTCGTTTCCCAGTTAACAAAAATGTATTTGACATTTCTTAAGTGCAGATATTTTTTTAAACAACTTACCAACTTTTTTTGTAAACAAAGTTTTAATTGTGCTTGAAAATACTAATTGTTATTTCCTTGTATTTTTTTTTTCCGTCTCATAATATTTGGACAAGACAACACAAACATAAGCAAGTTTAAAGCTCGCTCATAAAGTTGATTTAAATGTTTACGAAAAAAGTCAACTTTCAAAGAAAGCTTTCTGGGTAATATTAAAGCGATGAATACAAATGAGAATGGACTATTATTTATATACCAAGAGATTATCGATTTATTTGTATTATAAATATGAAGTACATGACATGAAATATAATTATAACGAGGAGAGTCTAGGTATTTAAATAAAAGACGAAAAAAACATCTTTTCGCAAGGCAGGTACGTACTCTTCGTTTGACTGTAATTTGGGTTAATCTACTCTTGCTAATATTCCATTTTATAAATAAAATAGCATGTACCAGTACTAATAAAGGATTAAGACGTATCGACTATTACATTGTAACAGATTAAATCTAAATTTGACCATCTACATATGTGCTAACGCTTTAAGCAAACGGAGTGTAACCACCCCTGTTCATCTCGTGGATGTCGTAAGAGCCGACTAAGGTAGCAAAACTCTGCAGGGCTTCAGAACGTCACCCATTCTTTAAAATGTTAAATATTTTGTTATATTGAATAAATTGTAATATTAAACAATAAATTCGTATCAAATACGAGTCGAATTAGTATATATCACGTTATGGGAAATGATGACATACAGGTGGATGACGAACCTTCTCATATTATGGATTCAACGAAGAAGGTCCGGCACTATTGAGTCGGTCAATATTTAACTGGCCCGTTGGTCGTATGGTGGACTAAATGGAGTAGCAGTAGTAGCATGTAGTTCACTGAATTTACATGATAAAAATAAAAACATTTTCGCTGAAAGTGAAATTTATCTGTAGTCACCTTAGAGAAATATTTTCTCTAGTCAGATAACAAAATATCTTATCAAAACGTAATAAGTGTGTGAACATCAATACAGTTTACTACAGTAACTGATAGTGATAACTACATTTGATTTCGATGCTAACCTCGAGTAATGAAGCAATAATATAGGTGCCCACTTAACATCCTTTGCGTAAGAGCACAGTGCGAGTATACTATTTTAGGAAAATACTTATAACAGTGAACTCATGTACATATAGATACACAAAGATATTGATACAAAATGTGCCTTGTACACATGCATTGTACGCCTAATTAAATATAACTATTAAAGGCCAATTTATATTATCCATTTTGAAGTGGTTTCAGATAAACCTCGGCAAACCATCTAATTGCGTTCATAAAAGGACTTATTAATATAGTAACTTGTGTCGCTTAGTAACTTATGGCGCTTCGGCGCTCTGCAAGTCGGGTAATGTAAACTGAACATTAATTTGTTTGATTACTATAGTTTTTATTTTAATCAATACTTAGGTATTGGCACGTTTAATAACTCATCGTACGGAACTGCATCGAAGAATTTTTTGGCAGTACCGACAGTCACGTTGAGAGCATAGTCCACGACAGGCTGACCGAATTCTTCTGTAACTATTCTCCAGTTTTCGTTCAGAAATTGTAAAACTGTATTACCTGAAAAAGAGTTGTGAACATCAATGAGAACACTTAATGTATATAAATGTGAAGAATGCTTTTACTTTTAAGTAAAATAATATTGCTGTGATTTCACAAGAACCAAAATTTTCTATCAGTATTCTAATTAAAGATTATGTATGGTTCTCACAGTTTATTGAAAATAGTATATAATAAATCCTTTTCTTTTCGATAAATTGAAGCGATAATAATTTCAAAATTTAAGTGAAAAACTAAAATTAGAGCGACCCTTAATATAATAGGTGACATTTTAATAGCAATAGACACCTTCTAGTCTGTTTGAAGTCGGGCCAAGCCCGATGCATAATAAGTAATACTGGTCTATGTCAGCTTTATATCAGCAAAATAAAGAATTAAGAATTCAATATAATTCTAAAGTAACATCACAGATTTTGTTAATTAATAAAGACCTACTAGATTAATTACGTATATAATAAAGCATTCCAACCTCCTGTTTTGAGTTTTTGAAGTTGGTTAAAAATAAGACCGTAAGAAATGGTATATTTAATATCTAACTTATGTTGGAGACCTCAGACTTCTCATCTACAGCCACTTTAAGTAACACTTGCTTGACTTGCTCGACCTATTTCTTACACTTCCATATATATATACCAGAAGACTAGATAATAGCGTGATTATATGTGGGATTTCCTTCCTAGGGTACACCTGGTACACCGGCTACTGATACCTGAGACGGCGTGCGATTTTTTGTCGAGTCTGACATAACCACCCCACCGTTAGATGGCACCCCAGGGGATTTCCGTAGAAAATAAAGAGTGATTGTATGTATAAATGAAAATACTAATCTTATGTCTAAATTATTGCATTATTTCACACTTACTAAGTTCAGCGTTGTCTTTGAAAAGGTTGTTAATAGTGTAGATAATTCTCTCTCCATAGTCGAAGGTATATTTGTAATTTTTGATCCCGAAATGGTCACGACCTTCAGCATCCTTGTAGTACTTGGTCTTGATATTCAGTTTTATAATGGAGTTTACTGAAAGTAAATTTGTGTCACCTTAATTATTTTTATCTGTGCTTTATAAAATATTTTACAGTCAAGCAATGAAAATGTTACACAGAAACTCCAGTTTTCTGGAAACTGTGCCTCCGAATATCTCCTAAGTGTTTTATCCATTCATCCGTGGTCATATGAGGCTGTGCATTTATTTTTAACGATTTCGATTTCAGCCAGCATTTTTTACCCATACATATTTTATTCCGTTTTAAACTCATTCGTTTTTTATCTTTACATAAACACTCTATTCTTCTGAAGTTCTTGTTTGTATTTCTTATCGAAAAATGAACATTCGTGATAAATTTTAAGGGAAATGTTAAATATATGTAAATATACGACAAGTAAATATAATATAAAACAAACAATTTAATTTAAAAATATGCTATCTAAGTTGTAAGTAAGTAGTAGTTTAGAGATAGTAAGAGTTAGTAATAATAGCATTAGGTAGTGTTCCTATCACCTACACTATGAAACTGTCTTGTTGCCAAAAAATTGTCAAATAATTCAACCTGTGTGTCTTTCACTAAATAAAATCTGTCATTATGAATTTTAACATTGCTCCAACCTTATTTTTGACCTAATCTGTAAGTAAACGCAGTTTCTTTTAAGTACCGAAGTGTTTCTTGTTAAATTTGTTAAAAGATATATAGAAAGAGAAACCAGGCTAACGTTTGTAGAAAGTGAGATTAAGGAGAACTCACTTTCTATAAACATTAGTCAGGGTTTGGTCTCACTCACTCGTAACACCCTCGTGTGGGAGCGTATTTGAAGGGCGGCAAGGCACTTGTGATTCTTGACCTACAGGTGTCAAGGTGATAGTCACTTACCATCAGAAGGCCAATTCTCGTAATAAAAGTTCAGATCGGTCACAATTTTTTTGTTTTAAAGACAACTCCCGTACTAGGAATATATCCTGTGTCGCGGGGGACTTTACAAACATTAATAAAACGGACGCAAAGAACACCCAGACTTAGAACAACAATTTGTAGATCACACAAAGTGTTTTTGCATGTGGGGATCGAACCCACAACACTCAGCGCAGTAGGAAATAGCGAGGTGACAGCTTAAACTACTACGCCATTCGTGCAGTCCCAATTCAGTGCCGATCAACTCTTGTTGTTACAACTGTCATAAAAGGTATTTTCATAGTAAACTATTAATCGTCCAACGTTGATTGTAATGTGATTATGTCGTATTGTAACCGATTTTTTTTTCTACTTTTTTACTAAGAAAATTGCGATATCGAGAGTTGATCGAAACTGAATTTTGACCTTATTTTTATTTCGAGAATTCGGACTTCAAGTGACCCGTCTGCTCGTTAGCCCTTTTATTTATAAACCATAAAAATAACCTTAAATGAAGTTAAAAATGATCAAATCAGGGGAATGCACTTAAATTCTAGTTATTACAATATAATTGTATATGACAGCTGTATGTGTCAATTCGAGTATTTTCTAGAGGACTAGTGCATGCATCGCCGTTCCCTATCGCAACATATTACATACAATATTGGCCAATCGAATGAGTTTTCACTTATACGTATTGATCCTTGAGTAATGTAGGTGATACGGTTGCCCGGTTGATTTGAATAGTGATGTAGCGACATCCACAGTCTATCTGTAGTTTCGTGATACTATAAAAGCCTTGAAAACCAGCCATCCTGTCGATAATCCTCTTGAAATTTTGACTGCCCGTATGGCGGAGTTGTTTAAGCGGTCGCCAAGCCGCTTCCTACTACGCCAAGTGTTGTGGGTTCAAACTCCAGATGGGACGACACTTTGTGTGATCCACGAATTGTTGTAAGTCTGGGTGTCCGTTTCATGTAGAAATGTAAAGTCCCCCGCGACACAGGATATATTCCTAATGCGGGAGTTGTCTTTAAAAAAAAATTCGACTTCGGGAATACTTTCGATGTTATCGATAGCGTGGCTTCGATGGCCTGTTTGACCTTTATTATGGATCAATAGTATTATAAGTCAGTTTTGATAAATAAATAACCTAAAGGAATTTAACAAATGGAATCATTTTTAATAGCGATACTTTCGATAAAGTTAAAATATAAATATTTTCGATCGCAGTAACGGCAAATTAAATATTTTTCAAGGTCAACTATTCGATAGTGAAATTATCACTACAGTAACATCACTAGTTGGAAATCATGTCAATCAATCAATCATCGGGTACAAACATGCACACAAGTATGTAGTTTAAGTATGTAGTTTTACACAATACCGTGGCAAGGAATTTCGTTAGGTTATTACTTGTTTGCACTATGTTTGCTACAATTTTTAGAATAGAATTCGGCAAAATCCACAAGCCATAGTTTGAAGTATTAATTAAATATCTGTAAAAAGTACCACTACAAGCGTTAAGAAATGTTTTTTTTTGTAACTTTCATATTATTATTTTCTGTTGTCATTACTAATTATCACACTCAAAGTAAATTAAATAAGTTACATTACATACTTTAGAAATAAAAACATAAAATTAATGAAATCATGTTCAATCTTAGGTTTTAGAAACAAATTCTGACTATAGTTGCTTTTACAAATCTCTATTATCAGCGCAATTATTTTTAAGGGGCACTTTATTAGGTATGCGTCTACCAGACAGTCTGCGGCGTGGATCGGTGATACCGCTGGAGATATTTTATTTTAAGTAGTGCATTACAACAAGTTACGCGACTCAAACTTGTTGTGTCTGCTCCAGTCTCCAAGGAGCAACTGTAAGTACCTATATAAGTGATTAAAATACAACGTTAATAAATAAAATATCATACACACCAATTTTGATTTTACAATCCCCTTCGCCATTGATGGGGAAAAGCAGCAGTCTCCCAACAGCTGTATATTTTCCTTTGATTGTGATGTTGCAACGTACTTCCAATGTAAATATATTCTGGTCCAGGAACGCTCTGTAATTAATCAGTAAATCTTTTTAATCCTATCATCTAGCAAACATAGGTATGTGATGTAGCAGAAAGAGTATTAAACTGACTAAAAGTCAAGGGTTCGATTACAACTCAGGGTTAACAAAAGCGAAATATTTTCATTTCCTTTGGATATTTTATGTATAATGTAACAACAAAAACGTAGAAACTACAATAATCTTAGCTCGGTGTGAGTTAAGACAGTACTATTTTACACATTCTAATATATCATTACAATGTTGTTTCCGACATTATGAGAGGAAAACGAACAAAACGCTAAAGTAATTAGCCTCAATATCAAAACAACATGAAACAGTGGAGATACGAGTTTATTCCGGTATATGTATTTAATTTTAATGTTTTGATATTTGCCGTTATTTCTTTCATATTGTACTATGTGTTGTGTCCTAAATTTGAAAATTCTTCCAAGGGTATTTTTCATTAATACATTTTGCTAGCAAATACCACTGGTGTATAAGAATCAGTTTACTCAATATTGAACTGATTTGCTAAATTTTGAGGCAGTCATTGCGGAACACGGCGGTACAAACGGTATTAGAGGCAGCAGACTACTTTTGCGGCCTAATGTGTATAAGGCTCTTTGATGGGCACTTCACAAATCACATGATCCAGGTCCCCTCCAGAGTATCTAAGGCGGGCCGTCAGGGTGGTTTTGAGTGACTCTATTCGGGGGTTGTGCGGTCCATGTCTCTTTATGGGTCCCCGGTATGGGCAGAGACCCTGAAGGCCAGCAACGTGGCACTACTGCGACGACCGCAGCGAGTGCTGGCCATCAGGAACATAATGGGGTACCGCACGATCTTCTTTGAAGCAGCGAGTCTCCTGGTTGGAACTTCACCGTGGGAGCTGGAGGCTAGGGCCCTTGCGGCTCTGTATCAGTGGCGCAAGGAAGCGCGGGAGTTCGGTCAATGTTCTGAGTCTCAAGACATCGAGGATCAGAAATCCACACTCCGCCAGGTCCTCGTGGAAAAGTGGAAGGAAAGACTTGGGCAACCGAGTGCTGGGCATGCCGTTAAGACCCATTATGGAGGATTGGCTCGAGAGCCATCACGGAATCCTGTAATACCGGTTGACGCAGGTGATCACCCGGAAAGGAAGCTTTGGAGATCACCTGTGTCTGATCCGCAAGGAGCCAACGCCTGAGTGCCACCACTGCGATAGCCGGATCGTGAACACAGCGCTCCACACGCTGGCAGAATGGGTGGGTGGGCGTGGGTGGAGCAGAGGCGTTGCCTCATGGCGGCCATCGGACTGGGTATTCTCTCGCTTGGTAACATCATTGATGCCATGGAATGGAGCGAGAGTTCGTGGAACACCGCCGTTTCCTTCTGCGAGCTAGTTATACAAAGGAGATGGCGGAGCGAGACCGGGAGAGGTTTAGAACTCTCCCGGAGCACCAGGTCCGGCAACGGGGCAGGTACCGCAGACAGCTCAGGCGCCGGAGGTCGCTGAATGATCACCGTCTTCCATAAGCGCAGGCCTGGGGGTGGTAGGTGAGGTCATCTGTCACCCTAGCAGAAGCAGGCTGGGATGGTCGCGAGTCCGAGATAACCAACGGTGGGTGGTATCCGAGGACAAAATGCGAACTGGGGCGGCGGTTGAAGGAAAGTCCGTGCATTCCAACCAAATTTAAATATTTCAAGGTAATGGTGACAAATTTTTGCACATATATCTAGTATTCAAGAACACTAGCAAGATATATTTGAAGACAATATAACGCGACTTTGCGTTTTTGTGATACCGAGGCTTTTCTACCATTGTCAAAGCATTAACAAACCAAGCTACCCTTGGAAAATCCTAGTAAAGTACAAATGTCATTAGAGTTTAGTGTGACACAAAAGGTTTCGTCAACAGTGCGTGAGTATAAAACCACATTATTACGATGTGCCAAGGCTTCTGTAATCGCTCTAACATTAGGTAAGCGGGACTATTAAGTTCCTTTCATACGCAAGGCCTCAAGGAAAATGAAACAATATATTCATGTTAATGACAGAAGAACTCTTCTTGAAACTGAAATTTGGTGATTAAAAATATTTGTCACACAAAATACGTAGGTATTAATAATTAGTTCTAGTACAGTCTTTTTCAATTATTCGCAATATTACTATTTATTGCTCTCCTCTAGTTTCATATTACACAGAATATCTGACGCCTCTTTACAGCGATTGAAATGAAACATACAGTTACTGTTTCTGTATTCTTTTGTATTGCCTGAGGTTAGTAAAAATTACTGTACTAAACATGTGGTGAATTTGGTATTACTTGTTTTCTTATAATTCGTTACGAAGCATAGTGTGTTTTAATCAATTCCGGTTATCCGTAAATTCCTTTTATTTTAGAACCTTAGTTATTCTAAAATTAACGGTAAGCCTTTCCGCATAATGAAATAATACTTAGGAATCGAAACTTCCCTTCTATTCACTTTTGTGCAAAACATTAAATGTCGAGACTTAAACTTTAATTTTTACAAGAAAAATATTTGTAGACACGTACATATCTTGAATGCAAGATATCAACAGGTTGTGAAAAAAGATTATATCACTTATGTCTTATAGAGTAAATTAATATATTTAAATCATCTCTCTTATTGTTATTTTACCGCTATTATAATTTTTGAATTTTCTAACTTTGTGAATATATCGACGATATCAATGACTTGATTATAAATAGCTCTTATTGCTTTCATCTGAAGTGTTATGACATTTTGAATGTCTTGAAAGTTCCATACAATTGAATACCTAGAGGTATAATATAGTTTGTGTATAATTTGTAATAAATATAATTTGTCAAGGTACAGTTACTTTCCTGTTTCGACTACAATCTATTGGCGAATAATTGTTAATCCTTATATTGCACAGATTGTTAAGCCTGGCTGCGAAATCTCTCAAATAAGATTACGGTAAGTATAGGTAATCTTTAGATGGCGTCAGCACTGAGGTTCTATAAGTACTCGTAAATAAATAAATTTTTAACGCACTTTTACCTGAATGGGAGTAGATTTAGGCATCAAGGTAAGATGCGCCTCTATACTATTAAACATTTTGTTAGAGTAAGGAAATATTTATTTTTTTAATTACCTAATTATCGCTGTCATAGTGTCCTTCGCTGTCTCTAATCCGCGGCGTGGCTCAATATATTATGTACATTTGATTGGTCAATTTACTATCCTTAAGGAATCGTTGTTTCTGGACATGATGCATCCCATCCCATATTTAACCGACGTCAAAAAGGGGGAGTTTCTGAATTCGGTTGTTTTTTTTTGTTTGGTTTCGTAATTTACGAACCTATTTGAAATTTGTTTATATTTGCGAGGGTATAGTTCCCATTTTGCTCTATTTACATAAAAAATACCATCCCTGAGGATAGAGATTTAGAAGTAAAGATTACGGCTTATTACAATTCATTATAATGTATCGCAGATAATTTTTTAAACTAATTATTTTATTAATATTTGCCGATGTTTCAAACATGTATGAATAATCGATTGAGCAGTTAGATGTAAAAACGTGAGAGACAATTATTTATATTTAAAAAATTCTTGTGCTTAAACGTTATTAGTTAGTATTAAGTACTAACTACGTGAGTATTCTTCATGGCTAAAGTACGAAGTACTTTTAAAGACACCTTTTTGAAGGTTGTATATGTATAGATGTCATCATTTTTTGCCAAATCTAAGCTTTAGTGCATTTTTTTCTTCCATATAACAGCTCTCATGTCAATACAATATTTGTACATACTCGTATTTAAAAAAAATATAAGACAAAGTTTCAAGATACCTAATTGCTTGTTTTGCATAATTTCTGCAAAACTTTACTACGAATTTCTGAAAGTCTTTTACAGACTTATTATTCTGTATCTAATAGCCTCACTTGCCTCCCGAATAGTTGTAAACCATTTAAATAGGCGGATGGATTAACTATATTATACCCTGCCAAGAACTACCTATTTTTTTATTCACCATCACATTTATTGTTACGAAACTTTGGTTATGAGAGCGTTTGATAATAAATATTATATGTAGTACAAATAAACTTACTCAACGTTCACCACCTGGCACTTCCTGAGCCCCGTCGCTTTCCCCTCGTAGAAGGTAACCTTAATACCAGGGAGTTGTATGGGCAGCTCGTCAATGATGAAAGGATCTAGCGCGGGAACTCCGAGGTGAGGTATTCCCTTTGAGAACTCGGGTATAGCATCTGCCGTAGCTTGTATCAGACACGCAGGTTCGGTATTGTTGCACGGATGAATGAAGTCAGCTGCGGATATTAATATATTTACTTTAGTCTTGGTACTGAATAAAGTGCCAAAGTAAGGATTAGGTATTTGGCCTCGCTTGATATAGGTGAAATGTGTTTTTTATAACGTTGTCCCTCGAAAGAAAAATATATTGAATATATATTATATACTTTTAAATTACCTAAGTATAAAAGATATGTCCCTTGCTTGTGGGAACGTGAAGTGGTAGGTTGATGTCAATTGTTGTAAATATTTGTCAGTTATTGGTAAAAGTAAAGTATTGTAAAATATCTTAAAAAACACCCTAAGCTTTTTTACGATATTTTTTTTTTGTTTTCACTTCTTTTTTGAGCTTAGAAAATTGTTTTCTACTTTTAAGTTCGGTTTGAAGAAAAACCGTGTTTTTTAGTTCTTTAACAATTATTTATTTTTACATTCTTTTAGTGACAAGTAAATAAGTTACACATTACGAGTATGCTTCAGTACACGCCTCAGTACTTCTTACAAGATGCTACCTTGTTTTAAAATCGTTAATCATAAAGATCCTGGTCAGGATAATCGGACAAACTTATTTAATTATTTTTTGTTTGATTTAGAAATTTAATAACTTTGTCCTTGATAAGTGTGCGTTACATGCATACAGGTGAAGCTAATAAAAGCATGTTAAAAACAAAAATGTGAGTAGACGGTAAATTCAAAAAAACTTCTTAGGTGGTATTCAAGGACTCCAAAAAAACAAACAGGTACAAATTTTACTATCCAGCAAATCTTCGTAATCAAAATAACCGAGTTTATTCTCAAATCTCTAGAGAAGTTTCTCAATGAGTCAGTAGGGTATACCGTGAACATCAGAAGGCTTTAGTGATGGTCATTTAGACCCGATCTTAATCAGCTTAGTTATAATTAATGGTTTCTTAAATGGCATACTCTATATACCACAACGATTTGCAGTCTATAAAACATATAGTGGTAGCGAATGTTACCGCGGAAAAAAATCGTAGTTCAATATTACAGCAGTATTGAACTACGGGTTTTTTAAAGGATAATATTAATTGAAATGGAGACATTTTTATATTCTATAGGTTTTTTCAATGCTATTATAATATATTTTATATATTTATTAATTAATAACTGACGCAAACAGTAATTTATGTTTTGCTTCGTAACAATAAAAGAACAACACCTTGTACATGATAAGTACCAAACTCTCCGTACGCACGAATTCAATACATTATTTGCAGGCGTTCTTTCTTCTTTAAAAACTCGCCATTTAATTGCCCGGGGTACCCTATCACGCAGCTTTTCTAGGTCAAATTACTTGTAAACTATCGGACCACTTTTACGTATCCTTTGTTAGTATCTTAAGTAGTAGCTGTAATGGTATGTAATCATCTGTTTTTTACTTTTAGAACTGCTGTGTTTTCTCGAAATATAAAAGTGTTTTCGAAATAATTAAACCATTTGTATAATTTTACAAAGTATATATATTTTATGTATTTATATCAGTTAGTACAAGCTCATAGTACAAACTCTGCTTGGTTAGGGACTAGATGGCGTGGCGTGAATGTAGTAGAATACTACTATACTATTATTATTTTATGTACTGCAGATACGTGACACTGACTGACTAACTTCTATTTATTGTATTTAGATTTTTAACAGTAATAATTGGTACATGTAATATTTTTAAATATGGCTATTAATTTTAAAATATTAATAACCCAAACCCGCAAAACAAGTTATGTAATAAACGTGTGCAATTAAAATATATCGCAGTCAGTACAAAGTTAAGCGGGTTACTGCGATTGACAGATAACCAGTTTTGCAGCTTTTTATTTTCTTTTTTTAACATTTGACAATTGACATAAGTCAAAATACGACAAATAAAGTACTTCGTGATTAACCTTGACACAAGTATGTCAATAAAACAAGGACACAGGCACTTCAAGAACATCTTGAATTAAAACATCGTGTATTACGAGTATGATTTAAGTGAATATTAACCTTTGGATTGATTTTATTAAACGCATAAAAAGGGAACAAGGTTATTTTTATTTTAATATATAATATTCTAGATATAGAGATAATGATAAATATTCTGAATGTTAAGAAATTGTATTCAGAACATTTTCACATAAAATTGTTACAAATCTTACAAAATCGGAGATTGCATAAAAGCAATAAATATCATAGGAATAAGTTAATATATTTGCGAGATTATGTTGATTTGCAATGCTAAATTATTCTATTTATGAAATAAATAAAAATATCTACTATTAATTTTTTTTTTCGCAAATTATTACTTAATTTGTTAACTTAAGTAAAAAACACATCTGACAACACTCACAACATCTTAGTCTCTTTTGTTATGTTTTTGATAGGTCGTATACCCATTTCTAAGGTGTTTTTTTTGGTTTTTGAACATGGAAGTACAGGGACGTAGCCCACTATTATACAGTTCAATATTAGATAATATTATTTTATACAAACAGTACAGCACCTAAAGCAATGATTACTACAGCAACTTAGCAAAACTAATATTATAAAGGCGAAATTAGATCAGTTTAAATTTTCACGTGCAGCATTCTGTGCAACAACAATCACGCTTCCGTTGTGTACAAATATTGGGAAACATGAGTATTTCTATTTGCCTTGGTTTGTTTCATTTGCAGTAACTTATAAAGTGCTCACGTGTGCAACTTGTCATAAACAGATTGTCGATGTTTTAAGAGTTGAATTAAGTTGGATCTGTTAAGAGAAGTATGCAAGGAAAATATCATTGGCTGTTAGTCGTTGGCTAAGTGCTACGATTGATTTAAAGTTGGGTATTAAAAAGCCAACTTTATTATAAAAAAAATATCTAAAATACCTGCCGACTGAACACTACCACCTCAAAATACTAGAGGCGCAAAGGAAGCATCTATTGTGATTATCTCAACAAAACAGGTACACTCAGTTTTGTTTGTTATCTTGCCTCAGGTGTAGAGTGCTTAGTCCTCAAGACGTTGGTGTTACGATGAAGAACCTTCTGTTTTATATCACTGTAGTTTTTATATGTTACCATGAAATGTAGGCAGGTATATCTAGGTAGGCAGATATAATTTTAACAAACCTTAAACATTTAAATGTCAAATGTTTTGTATGAAATTTCAAAATATTACGTACGTTATATTTTAACTTTGAGTCTACTACAAGTTCACCAAATATTCTTGTATCCTTCTATAGAGCATGGGTTAGTGATAAAGGTAATATTTATTTCTAAATATTTCTAAAAGTCGATTTTCAAGTAAAATGAACGAAGAGCGTTCATGTCAGCCGTTAGTAGTGCGTTACTTTCAGCTGTCAATGTCTAATAATATAACTGAATTATAAATTTCAAACTGAAATGAAGGTTAATGATGAAAATTAAGGCTCTATGTGATGTGCGTATCTCTCTAATTACAAGTTTCAGCTTACGGTAACATCAGTGAAAATCTGTTCTCTACTTTACTACCCGTGTTTGCCCCAAAGACGCTTTCAGCAAAACGTTAGCCAAAAAGGATCGATACTAAGGCCTAGTTCTTCAAGTACACACTTTACGTGTAGATGAATAACTGATATTTATAAATCACTTCGTCACTGATTTATTCAACGACATGATCATGTGGACATACACAAGGAAACGGATCATTCTCAACGGAATTATTCAAGTGAAAACGTGCCATTTGTTCTTATCCAAGGCTATCTTAGAGATGGCCCATTTAACCGATTAATCGGTTCAGATAATCTTTGGACGTAGGCAACCATGTATGAAGGCATTAATCTTTAGGTGGACAAATGACAACATTTACTTTGATTAATTGTTTATCTATGTGTTTACAGAATTATATAATAATAGTTCATAACAAGTTGACACACCTCACCTACACCCGTCTGATCCTGAACTGGGCAGAGCCGGTGCGATACAGGCTACCTAGTTTATTAGATACAAGTATATTTAATTGACAGTGTAAACTATTTTTTTTTACAAAGTATGACGAAGGACCGCTGCCTGGGTTGTTTTTAAATATTCCTTCTTTATATTGTCGTGGTTTGCCTTTATAAAAGCTGTAGTAAATAACAACAACAACAGTAAATACCAATAAAATATGTTTTCCAAGGTCCTTCCAGCAGTCGTACATAGATCCGTACAGTAGTAAATAAAGATAACAGTAAAAACAGTTAAAGAGTATTGCAAGGTTTCAACAACAATTGTACATAGATCCGTACAGTCCAACGTCTTGAGCGAGAATGACCGAGTACGCGCAATACAGCTCGTTTTTATAGGACACATTGTTCGCGCACGTGTTTACATGTTGCTAGGTTCAGTGTTGTATTTAGATAATACGATTCATCAGGTTATTTCTTAAGACTAACTATCAAAACTTTATTTATAAACATTTAGAATCTAATTGCAATTAATCAAATATTTTTATTAAGTGAGGTAGTTTGTAGTTGCTCCGATAAGTACCTATATTAAGAACTTTAGTAATTAATTACATTATACTAGGATTTAAGGTATAAGCTTTTTGACTAATTTTAACGTCAAATAAAAACATTGATCACCATATTGTCAAAGGAATGAAAACTTTTCAACTATCGTGTTCCGTAGTGTATTACATAGTATATTTACGGGAATTAACGCCCGAACGAAATAGGTATTAAGTACATACTTTTGTGCCTGACGTTTCAACCAGGTTGCACTGGCCGCAACCACAAGTTACGCGGTCCGTAAGGTAGATATTGTTTCATTCACTGCAATAATACCGAAATTGTGCGAGTGGATGAAGGAACTTCTACCTAACGGACTATAACTGCTACTTTCCGCAACGAAAACCTAATACGGATTTATGTAAGTATTAAATTCACCAATACAAATAAAAAATTGAAGTATTGTATCTGTGTTTATAACAAAGCTGAAGTTTTCATTTCTTCCATAATGAAATAAGTATCTCACTTTAAGCCAGTAGGTTCATCTTCAATGTATTTTACGGGGTTTACTCCTCGCCGTTGTTAATAGAAGTAATGGCCTCTAATGTTAGGCTTTTAACTTCACTTTCGAACTTTCTGACATTTTTATCTGCCACTCAACGCTTCATCGTTTGCCAGATATATTGCATTAGATTTCAATCACAATAAGGAATATGCTTGTGTTTTTTATTTACTCATTGAATGCCACCATGTTTCGCGGACGTTACGTTCCACGCTCTCTGTTTGTATAATTTTATACTGAATTTCGGTTGTGATAACTGTTTAGACAATGGATTAGGCTAATAAACACTTTAAAGGTACACTCGAAAAAACATTTTCAGTAACAGTAACTGATAGATAAACGCAGGCACATAAAAGAAAGCGTTTTTCTCTGTAACCCTTTCTGTAAAAGTTTTTACAAATTTGAATGTCCCCTTCCTTTTTTGACAAATTTTAAATTATTAGTTTTTCACAATTAACAGATAACCTAAAATAATAAACATTATTATTATACCTCATAGAATACTTAACTGGCTATGCTTCTTTGCCATATTATCATAATATAATGTACTCATATTTCATTATTGATGATGACTGATACATTATTTTGAAAAATACGTTGCAAATATTTTACATGATAGACTTTAATATTAGTCCTTTGAATAAAAACCAATTATTGTTTTGACACTTCTTAAATTAGTGACTCTCCTTACAGTTGTTTGCCTCTATGGGAGTCTATCAAATTTAATATGTAATATTATAACAATGTGTGTTCGTGTGTGTAATAGATTAAAGTTAATAACATTCTTATATGATTGGAATTACAATGTAGGTATATGTGCATATTAAAAAAAGTTTAAGTATTAGTTGAGGCTTGGCGAACATTGCGAGTTAGAAGAAATGAATTCAAATGAGATAAGTTTATGTTTCTAATAGACTTACACATGTTAACATAGCGACCTTGAGTATAGATGTCACTAACATTAAAATATTTCTCCGATACAAAACATTGTGTGAGAAGCACAATTTTTTCAACATTTATAGTACAAATATAAGTTATTGTTTTTTTTATTATAGTCTCCTTCGGGTTTCATACCGCATAGTTTACGTGTTTTATGTAACGTCACTAGGCTCTCACATCCTCCGAAAGTAGGTTGCTACATACTCGAACATTTTTCAGATCTTATCTTATCTTATTGATAAATATATTCCTAGTAGCCTTTTCAAATTAGCTGTTTGTATGAGACACTAAGTCCCGTTGCCAGTATATTGAATTTCTAGACAAGTATTCAACCTTTAGATTGCAACAGCCAAGTGACGGGTAAGTACTAGCTAATAGGCAGCCATTTTCTTGTTAATAACTTTGGCAGCCAGTAAGAAACTAATTATAAATCCCTATTTTTTTCTAAATAACAAGTTTTATTAATAATAATTAATGTTATCAAATTAGATCTCAGATTAGATCTCTAGAGATTAGATCTCAGTGATGTTTTAAATTATTTTATTAAATATAAAGATTAAAAAACAAATATAACATTTTATTAACAGTAAGAAACATGCCTTTTTAGATCAATATAGTAGGTATACTTAAAAAAATACCTTTAAATCATAGTAATACAATACTCAATTTACATATTTTTATGTCAATTGAGTTACCTCACAATGTTGAGTTGGTTAGAATGGAAATGGAATGGAATGGAATTAGAATTGGTTTTATTTTCATGTTTTGGTAGTAAGTCTATTATTGTATAGGGGTAGTGTATTATTGTATATCAACCTGTTAAAATAGAAAAAGAATGTAAACGTAAATAAATACCAACACATACAATAATATATGGCTTAGATCTATTACCTAAGTAACCAACAACGGCTTAATGCAATCGCTAATAATTACTTCCTTCAATATTTGTAAAGGATTTCAAGTTTGGTACCTGTAACGCATTGCGATAGTGGTAAAAGTGAGTTCTCCTTTGGTATTTGTGAAGTTAACAGATGCAAAATACACGTCAATAAGACATAAAACGCTACAACTCCTTAAAAACACGGAATAATTGTTTCGTTTTTTATTGAGTAATAATTCGTCGGTGGTGTTGGCGCAGCGTGAAATTAGACTTAGATTTTCCGGTCGTCCTACACCAACTGTGCAACCACTATGGCGTTGAGCTGTTCGCCTAGAAGAGGATGGAACAACACGAGATGTTGTCAGGTCTGGGTGGTCCCGGAGCAGTTTGTTCTGCTGAGAATATTGCGGCTGTGGCTCAAGATGTTGCAGAGGATCTCGCATTTTCAGTGGTCTTTATGAAGAGATATTTTTTTTGAGAATTTTACTGAAAGACTTAAAGATGTTACCTGACAAAGTGCAGGCTGTGCATCCCATCGTACGCTCAAGCCATACTGAATTCATGATCACGAAAACAACTTTTCATCGAAAATCATGTTAAGCGGCGAGGCCTATTTCCATCTCTGTGGATACGTGAATAAGCAGAATTAATGCTTCTGGGGCACCGAAATCTGCGAATAATGGTGACTGATATGGTGTGGTATTGACTTTGGAGGCGTCATCAAAACGCTGCAGGGAAAACGACTTTTGTGAGCGGCGAGCACCACAGAGGTTTGATTTTATTTTTTGCTACATTCCTATCAACGATAATCTTGATCTAAACAAAAAGCATACAAAAGAACGGCCTTTTGTATCATTGCTAATTTTTTTTTTTTAATTTTTTCTTATCGATGAACGTTACAGCGCAGTCTACGTAGATCAAGCCATGATCCCTCATTACGTCAGCATGGCTGCATACAGCATTGAAAAGAAAACCTATCAGGTACAGAAGACCTGGGGTGGAGCGACTCGGCTGAGGTTTGCGTTGAGGATTGAGTAATCAAAGTACGTCAGCCATGTGTGATCATAAATATAAGGATTAATGTGATTTTGACGTTTAAACGTGTTTTTAAGTTATATGAAACACAATAAATATTTTTTTCAATCTGCAATTTTCTAAAATCAAGATTTATAAACCTTTGATACTTAATACAAATAACATTTCGTTTTGTTAAACCACCATTTTTACCACCTATTGTCCTACTGGCCTATATATAGGCCAGCAGTTTCCCTAAAAGCTTTAAGGGTGATATTTTTTTCTGGATTTTTTCTACGTTACTTATGACCTTATGAACCAAATAATATACATTATATCAATGATTACAGAAATGAATGGTTACAGGCTTATCTGGGTTAATAAAATAAAATTAGACTTCAAATAAACACAATTCAAAAGCAAAACTAAATATTTTCATATATTTTTTAAATATACTCAAAGAACATGCGATATAAACAGTCCATCAAACTATCAATAATGTCCTACAATGTACATAGTAAAAAAACGTACCTATATACTAACTGTAATTAATTATCTGTTTGTATGTCATGCCCCTGTCAACATTACTCAATCATAATCAAAGTGCATTACACTTTTCACAATTACTAACATGTGAAAATTTTACACTTTTTATATTAGTTTGATGTAGGTCAAGCATAGATATAGGTATATCTACATATGTAACGAACTCTCTTTCCTTAGTTATCACCGACTTCAAGAACTGCGATTAACTTGAAAATTTACGCAAATATCAAAGAGCTATATAAATTATTTAGATGTCTTATTAAATGAATACAAAAGATTCTAATATCACAAATAGTTTCTCGTACCAATTTTTTTATCTCTAATCATTCTTTTCAATGAAAAATATTTTTATATATATTTATATTATAATTAATGAATGATCAGTTGTTTACAAATCTTTCTAAAATAAACAAATATAAAACTCACGTGCAATTTTTCCCAAACAATCACTGACAAAAGCAGCTGACGCCAACACAATAAAATGAAAAACACATCTTTTATATCTTTCATACATCGTTGATACACACTCGATGAAACGTTTTGATTATTATCCGTCCACAATATGATAGAAGTAAGGGCTGAGAGCACACTGGCGTGACCCTTGTAAATAGCGTTATATGCTTATGTAAATTCAAACAAGTTTTTTCTTATTTGATTGCATAAATTCAACTAGCTCTTTGCCAATGTGAAGCCTGATTTTCACGGAACACTGCCCGCTAATCCGTTCCACAAAATGTTCGCGCATTGAATGCGCCAGCCGGTGTGCGTTCGCGATCGTATTCTGGGATATTGCACCGTGATTGGCCCATCGTAATGTTTTCGACAAGTTGGTTTAAGTACGAAGGTCAGTAAAAGTTTATCTTAAGAAATACACTAAATGCATATTCCATTTGTTCGCCAACACTGTTTACATTTGTCTTTCAGGATGTTATCACATTAAGAATGTACTTCGTCACCTTTCCGGGGTGTTACGATCATGACAGTGTAATTGATTTTGCCCATTGATAACAATTAAATTTTAAAGTTTATGGTTTAATAAGTTATCCGACTAATATAATAAAATAAGGTAAATTACATGGTCACCCTCTATATTTTTTTGATTCAAAACACTATATTTGTGCGTTTCAGCACAGAGAAATTCGGAAATTTAATAAAATATAGATACTACAAACTATTTTCTTAGTTTAATGTCTTAATTATTATGTAAGTAGAAAAAAATAGCTATGTTGCGGAGTTGCTCCAGACACTGATTTACCAATACAATCTACTTTCATTGAAATAATTTAATTTCATCTAAGAAATTCTACGCAGGCTAAACCAGTACTTAGTATTAACTGGATAATTGCATAACTTGAGTGTCAGATCGAAACGGGTTACCATGATCCTCGTATATAGTGACCTATCACTAGTTATTATGCAACACAGCCTTAAACACAACAAGTTATTGCGGCATCTGTGTCCAAGTTTTAATCGTTTACTTGAATGTGATTATAAAAACAAGTTTTGGTTAAATGTAGAATGACTAATGTGATTTACGTACTACTCTATTTGAACTTATTAATTACAAAGATGAGTTCGTTAAGCAAGTGAAGGAAAAAGTATCAGAATTAAAAACATTTGACAACTGATAATGAATCTAACTCAATCACGTCTTGTGTCTTTGAATTTAGTAAACATCGTACAGTACATGCCACTAACAATCCGAGTAAACTCCAAAACAACAAAGCGGCTTTCGACCTATTTTGGCTTACAAATCAATGTCCTAAACATACGTAACACGGTATGGTCAATGTTTATAACTTACGCTATAATTCGTACAATTTATCTATGTATCTTTCTATCTGAATAGGCCCACTTGTGACTTGTGCATAATGCCCCATTTCTGTAAATGGTGCGTGCAAGTTGCATTTATGCATTAAATCATTTCAAGGTAACCATGGGCATCCAACCGCGTTGAATGATTTCGAAATCGTATGTAATGTGCCTTGTGATTCAATGTACTTTAATATTTGTAACCCAAAGATTTCTAGAATACTAGTATATGTGTATTAATACGCTAGGAGAATTCTTCATACGCTTTTTGCAAGGGCGTACAGATAGGATCATGAATTTTGGAATTCTTGTAGTTTTTACATAGAATGATGAATGCTTTTTTTTTTAATAGACTCTATAAAGTTAAAAAACGGCAAGAGGGGTCTATGGGCCCCCGGTCGGAACAAAGTTCTTTTCGCTTTGTGATATTATATTTTACATACTATATTTAATTTCCAGTAACAATTTTATTAAGAATAGGTAAATTATAGCTATTAGGTAAAGTTTTTGATTTAATTAGCTAGAAAAAGTCGCACATTTTTTAATAATATAAATGTGTTTTTGTCACGATATCAGGATCTAATGATTAGATTCTGAAATCGTGACAATGAGAATACCGCAGGACTATGCTCTTTTTAATACAAACAGGATTTTGGAAATTGGTACACAATTGACAGAGTAATCGGTGAACATACATAAAAAAATGCATACAGTGGAACATAGAGCCTACTTCTTTTTAAAGTCGGTTAAAAAACTCCGCGGTGGTATATCTTCTAAGGATAACCCACAGTAACCATTTTTATCTTTTGTCGTCCCGGGTGGCAATGGCAGGCAGGATCGGAGCGGGCCTATAAATATTGCATACAATGATGGCGTAGTCCTATCATAATAATAATACAAATAATTACTATAAACTGACACCACATTAGTAGTATTAGTAGCATCTATATTGCACCTGTGAAGTTGGGATGGATCGCTATTAATTCTCTACTCCGTTCCTGCCGGCCTTTGCCACCCGGGACGGACGTACGGACCGACGCGACGGCGAACGCGGTGACGGCCACTTTGCCCCCGCATTTACCTCTAATTTCTTCAAAAATATTAATTTTAATGATATGCTATAAATATATATAAATGCACAACGTTTCTAATATATTTAATTGGATAAGAAATGATAATGAATTCTTTAAAAGCCTAATAATAATAAGCTATTATTTTTTGTAAAATTTCAAAGATAAAAATCGTGGTTTACCCTTAGGAGATATATTTTTGTAGATCTTTTTAAGATATACAATTCCATAGTACATTATTCTGCTCAATCTCGTAAAGTTTTGCCAGCGTTTGCAATGTGAGCTCACAAAAACATGTTTAAATGAAACTATACTGACTATAGAGAAGATTACATAATTGAAAGTAACGATTATTTTTATCAAGCAGTACTACACAAAGTCACTTTATGCTTCTGTCTGTATTTTCGCTAACTCCTTTTAAACCACACAATGGATTATGATGCGGTTTTCTCAACATTAAACAATACAATAAATCACCAAAAAAATAATTTGCATAGCTTACGACGACTAAACCTTAAGAAATTCTTAAAAAAACAGTACAAAAACTTAGGTTCTTTATTCCACACCATGTGACTTCCATTTGGGACATTGTCGTTCTCAGTAGTAGATACATTTGCATAACGCCGGAATATATTGAATGTGTTACTAAGCTCTGTAATGCCAAAATTCTTAGTAGATTTCGTTTTTTTATTTACTACGACAAATGTTTTATGGTACAAGCTTGCATGAAATTCAAAATTCGAATTTGTTTACTAAGAAGGACTGAAGCATATATCACCCACACAGATTATTTTTCGGAAGGCGGCAGGCTGAGACTGGACTTTAATAATATAGGTGATAGAAAATGCAAACTAAAAATACATCTCTAAGCAACGGTAGAGCATTAAACCGATGTGAAATATCATTGTAATCAACGATTCAGGTCGCTCATCGTTGAATGCCTCTTACCAGAGATTAAAATAGTATTCCATAAACTTCTACACACCAAGCCTTATAAATGCCTATACACCAAGAAAAACTATCAACTTATCAAGGAAAACACAAATTAAATACACACTCTCGGTAGCAATGAATATTATTAATTTACAACATATCATTGATATGTGGAAACATGCGTAGACCGACAGACTCGGAGTCAGAACATGCACGATGACGATGCAACGATCTTAATTGTTGTGAACGTTGGATGTTCTGAACGTGTACGGTGTCGAATGCTTCTTTCTTGCAGAAAACAGGTGGCGTAGGTGCACAGTTTCTTGGGAAGCCCATAGGAGGTAGCTTAGAGGGAAACGCTTTGTGCTGGACTAAATCGACGATCTTCGATATCCAAACTAACCGCTTTGTCTCGATTGCATATGCCAACGGATGAGTCAAGACTCAACGATCGTAATATGACAATAGATAATAAAGAAGTAAACGTAGGGATAATAAAATTTAAAACACAGTTACCGTATTGTCGATCTACGGTGTATACGTTCCGCCGGTTAAATAAACGAAGTGTTTTGGAATTACGCCAGAATTTTTGTAGTAATAGAGTAACCACTCATATTCGCAACTCGTTTCACATTTTGATGATGGTTATCAAAATGTTAAAGTCAGTGACACCAGCTATGAAAATGTCATCTTTTTAAAACAGCCTTTGTATTGGTTCAAAAATTACCCAGCGATAAAATGAATTATTTGTTTTCTTACATATCAGCTCAAAGATATCAAACAGGTCATAAAATTGTTTACCTTTTTTACGAGGAAAAAGATGTTATTTTTTTGTCTACAATAAATGTGTCTTTATAGACTGTCATCAGTTCTTTTACTCCGTTAGCTCTATATCTTTAACTTTTATGGATTCATGCTCAAAGAGTTTGAGCTTGGAACTTGTTATAATTCAATTATTTTACTATTATTATATTTTACAGGTTTTCGAATCATCTAGTTTACACTTGTTGCCACTCATCATAATATTGATAGACCTGGTACCTGGCTGTACCTCATCCTTGCCTTCCTCCTTTCTCTACCTACCTAGTTCATAATCATGGCTAATACCATGGCCCAGGTTTTCTAAACATGATCTTATCTACCTATCCCATGCTCTGAAACCTCCTAAACCTCGCCCTTATTTTCGCTATATTCGCTGTTTCGGACAGATGAATGAAGAAAAACTAAGAAGTGATGCTTCAAACTTAAGTTGGGAGCCTCTACTTGAGGCGTCCACCCATCCTCGTACACCTTCTTCCTTTTTTTTTTTTTTTAACGTGTGGAAATCCCCTCGGACCGTCACCCCACCGGGGTTTGCGGCGGGGTGGTGTGTCGGACTCGGACCGACTAAAACCACACGGTGTGCCACTCTGCGCCTGTAATAGGAGGGATCCGGGAACAGCTGTTGTTAAGACATCCGGACCCCTCCTAGCGCCTGCCCGCTCCTGGTGCGGGCCTCTCTTTAGGCGACGTCCGGCACACGCGGACGCCGCCCCCTCGCGGCTGGCCAAACTAATGCGGGTGGAGGGGAAACCCACCACGTCCACCCGCGGCAACACTCAGGGCGGCATGAGGCGGTGATAAGCGCGCCTCCGCCGCCCGGTTCGCCGGCGGCGGATCGGGTCCGAGTGGAGGTCGTCCTCCCGGGCCTTCTCCGCCG